GCCTCGTTGGTCTAGTGGTTGTAGTAGTGCGACTGCTGATCATGAGGTCCTGGGTTCGAATCCCGGGTCGGGCCAAAAATCTATTATTGAGTTTTTCCGTCAAGAAATTATCAGTAGCTGCCTGTAGTCAGGAAGTTGGCGGGGTCTCACCCCATGCCTCGGAAAACACGTAAAGCCGTTGGTTCTGCGCCCGATCTCTCCGGTTGTGTCGGTTTACTGTCCCATCGGATTATGAGAGTGAGGGAATAGAGAGTGCACCTGTGCTTGCGCATACACTTGGGCACTATAATCCTTTCCTGCGCCGATGGCTCTTCTCCGCTGAGACTGGCCGCCGTGACCGAAATTCCGTGTTGAGTGCATCTTTTATTTTATATTTGTCTCAGAAAAGGTATCTACTACCCTATATCGTCCTGTAGGAGTCGTAAGAGACGACAGAGGGAAACCAACCAGGAAATGGGCAGTCACATCTTCTTAATAACAACAAATAAATTAAAAAATTACAGGCCGCCACGCGTGGCAACTATGTCATGTATCTGGCCTTATAAGGCATGGGGAGATTGTATGGGGAGGCCCACGTACCTACGTTCAACAATGGATTTTTGATAGGCTGTTACTGTTTGTAGTTAATTTACCCTTATTACAGTCAATTAAATTCCACTGCTGTACATAGGGCTCCCCCATAGATTGCCTCAAAGAGGGGATATTTGCCATAGTTGCCATGCTTGGCAAACGGGTTGTCAATCGCATTTTTTAAATTTAGTCGTTATACGAGGACGCTGCACCCGTCTCCTGATTTGTTTGCCTTTGTTGCCTCATACGAAACCTAAGGGATGATATGGGGTAATTGATATTCTTACAACGCTATTACACATTAAGTTGGTAGTTTTTTATACTGAATTAATCCATATTAAACAGAATTTTCGAAACAACTGCTATCGATATAGGAGTACGTTTTTTTTTTTTGCGCCCGAAGCAAATATGGGCAACCCTCCGGAAAGCGGGGGAGGGAGGTTGGGAATGCTCATAGCATACCACGCAGCCGGCTGCGTGGTTACGTGGTGACTTTTACCCACTAAACCCAACCTTTTAGGAAGTGGCTTAACGATCTGACTAGAGATCTCTAAGCCGTATACGAACGCTACCCTCCTTGGCAGAAAGGAGGGCGCAAGGAGTACTTAGTAGAACTTGGTATTTATAGTTGTATTGAGTCACCTCTCCCCTCCAACTTTTTGACTGCTCTCATATCAATGTGTTTGATTGACACATTGATATGTCTTGATAAACACATTGATATGTTTTAATTATTGAGTATAATTTATCCGAATACTGAAAAGAGTACCAGGAATTTTCACCAAGATACTAGAAAACTTTTTAAAGTTAATTTTTTAAATAATTAATTTATAATAAATGAGAAAACTATTTATCCCTTACAATTCAAAACTCATTATAGAATGAAAAGCACGAGGAAATGGGAAATTTCTGTGATTTTATACTGAAATTATAAAGGCACTGATTTATTCGGTTCCATTAAGTTGCCGCCGCCATTCATCGAGGTTCCGTTTGAAGTGAATCAAGACGAATGTAGAGTTTTGTTGCTCGAACAGACCGGGTAAGCGCGAGCTTATTTCAGTGTCGTTTGATGGAAAATCGATCTCGCCATTCCACGGTTTAATTGCCTCGCGTAGCACATCTGCGTCAACGGCGAACGGGTTTCAATTAAATTTACATCAAACATTTAGACGAAGACGTGCGCTGCACAAAAAGCTCCGCTTTCTTAATTATTTCTTCTACAGCTTCCACACCCAAACCAAACCAAATACACTTCCCGTTTATCAACACGATTTTAATTATTTATTGTACGAGTAAATAATGTAGGCGTGTTACGTATATACAAATGTATAAGAAAAGTACACGATAGAGAAAAAGCAGTATATGCCTTGCTGCTTGATAGTAGAAATGGGAAAACGGGCAGTGTTTTTTATAAAATAAGGGTGACAAACGAGCACACAGTCCACCTGATGGTAAGTGGATGCTGTGGCTCATAGACATCTACATCTACATTTGGTGATAGAAATATGTAAGGTGATGGTACCTACATAGACGGACTCCTAAGTAGAAAAAAACAGCCCATACCACGTAGCAACGATTCCTACCACCTAGTACAATGCGAGATATCTAAGACAAATTCCGTCAGGATAGGTTTTTACGTGGTAGAGCCACGCTGCAGCTATATTAGTTGTAGCACGAATGGGTCGGCTCGACCGGGGAAAGACCACACTCTCGTAGAATATCAGCGTAAAATAACAAATTAATACTGCTGTGTTTCGTATGGTGAGTGTAGAAATCCGGAGACCCTTTTTACTGGAAACGTGGCATTGCATCTTAGTCCTCAGGGGTGACAACATCTGCGTTTTGAATTTTGATTCTTAAACGAGGATAAATGTAGATGTCTATGGGCCACAACATCCAATTACTATCAGGTGAACTGTGTGCTCGTATGGCACCCTTATTTCATAAAAAATCAATATAATAGCTATAAAATCAATCTATCATCTTTATGGCTTATTATCTGTGAAAATTTTTTAGTGTAAAATAAAAAAAATTACTAGCGAAATATGAATGTAATTGCTGTAGCCGAAAATTCTTACTCGTTAACATCTAGTGATTGCTGATCTTTATGTCTTGAACAAATTACAAAGATTTGTGTTATGGTCACAGAGCATAGAATTTAATGAACATTTCTTTTCCTTTTATGGCAAACTTAGAGTAATTATGCTTGTACTTACTTTGAGATGGCAAGGGCTAGTATTACAAATGTTGGTAATCAATTTTGGCAACTGTCATTATAATTACTAAGTTCTTGATCATATCGGATATATTTTATATTTCATAATACCTATTATAGTTTATAACTGTAGCACCGATGCTAATGAGAAAAGTTATTTACTTACCGCTTATTTTGCATGAAGCGTGAGTGACATTACCTAATTTTTTTAAATAAACCGTGCTATGCTGCGTGTTGCAATTTTCCAATGTACTATCCCATACTCACGAAAAGAAATTATCGTTTTTGGCTTAGTGCGGACCCTCGCCAGACACTTTTACCCTTTTTTCGGTCATGCAATCCCTAAAAATTGCATGGCAGTATAAGCAATATCAAAATTAAATGCACGTAACCTCACCCATTGAAACATCAACCCTTCGGCGTCGTATCAACCGCGTGTTGTTTCAGACAGACACACGTACAAACAGATTCAAAGTCTTTGTGTTTCGCCCCTATTTGATGACTAATGGATAGCGACTCCCACAAATAACAATATCCTACAGCTTTTCACCTTACGTTTGAAGTTATAGAGTTTAAATTCTTATGTACATCTGCAATTGTACAGTTGCCACCAAGAACACCTGTCCGATGTTAAAAGACCTCCAAAAGTAGGTGTTATAGCCGCTGTCCGCGAAACCTGTTCAGTTGCAACGAAGAATGAGGCGGCCCAATTTGCGCTGGTTGTTAATTTTCAGTATTAACTATGGGAGATCGCTTAATTAAGAGTGCAAATGATAGGCCCTTTTTATGTTATTTTTAAAGGAATAAAAGCGGTGTTGATAGCAGTAAAAATGAGACAGAGGTAATGATGGATGACTAAGCAAAATGATTGTCCTTTCTTGTAAGGAGTTCTTCCAAACTTTCACCAATAATGAAACACTTTTATGTAAATGGAGCTGTTTTAAATTGTGTGTCTGACATTTGGGCATTCCCATTTCCCAAACCTTGGTGTTTTCTGCTCTCTTTTATTTTTAATGTTTTTTTTTTCTAATCGGTAGCTGATTGTTGACTTACTTACTTACTTACTTATCTTCACGCACAATCCCTAACGGGGTAGCCAGAGAGAACAGATCGCCAAGTGGCACGATCCTTACATACCTCTTTCGCTTCTTTCAGGTTCATTAACTTCTTCATACTTGCACGTCTAGGTATCCGAGTACTCTTGACCTTCCCCTCTTCGAGCAATTTGCTTAAATGGTCTTCGAAAGTTAGTCCCGGTCTACCTCGACACCTTTTAATATTTACTTTCGCTCTATATATTTTCTTCACCATTCGGTCTTCACTCATTCGCTCAACGTGCCCAAACCATTGGAGTACGTCCCTATCAATTTTTGTGATAAGGCTTACCTTATATACCGTAAGATAGCTGATTGTTGACTTTCAAAATAGCTTGAAACGGGTTTCGACTTAATGAAGTGTAAAATATTTTTCATTTTACGCCGTTTATTTCGAAGAAATCGTTACTTTATGGTTTCTAACGTACGTAATGGCAAGTCCAAAACTATACGGTAAGCCGGTCGTGACGGAGGTTGGTTTTAAGCCTCCGCCATCTGAATATGACATCTTCAAGTCGTCACGTATGGGTGTTATAATGTAATACTTATAAATTTAAAAAAAAAGAAACTAAAACTTAGACGCATAATTGTATGAAAGGCTTTTTTGTGACGTAATAAAAAATACATAGAAACATTAACGTCATGTTGAAGTTATATTTCTTACTCTAAATTTCTACCTTTCCGTATATATTATTGAACAATAAAGTTAAAATTAATGGTTGTAATTACTTATCTACCCACTCAGTAATAATTCATAGATATATTTGAGTCTTGAGTTACACAAACAGTTTTTTTTTAATAAAATTTAAGTAACAAACAAACTTAGGTATAGTCCAGCTGATGGTAGGTGGCTACTACTCCAAGGACACCTACAGTAAACTTCAAAGAAAGAACGCGACAGATGCGTTGTCAGCTCTGAAGACTAAGATGGAACGCCTCACAGCATGTATATATACTGGCTGACGCCTGCTCCCAAGGGAACACAACATTCTTAATTAGCGGCAGAAATAGTTAAAAGGATGCCTACAAGGACGGACTTCTTAGCAGAAGAGACAGCTTACTCCACCTAGTACGCGACTTAAGAAGCCTTCGCATCTTCAACACGTTTCCGATGTTTGCAGACGTCAGCAGCGCACTACCAGAGCCAACTGACGACGCTGAGCGCGGAAAACGAACGGCTGCGAGGACAGTTGTCCGCGTTGTCCGCCGGCCTCGGTGGCGACCAGGAGCGGCGCCTCGACGATGTTGCGCAGCAGGTTGTGCGGGCGCTACTGTCGCAGAAGGTGAGCCTATTGCTACACGTAGAGCAAAACTTGGTAGAGCCACGCAGCAGCTAAATTATGGTTGTAGCACGAATGTGTCAAAGTGAAGTAGTGAATCACAGAATACCAGCGTAAAATTTCAGGTTAATGCTGCTGTGTTTCGTATGCTAAGTGTAGAAAACCGGAGACACTTTTACCTGGAAGCGAGGCATTCCATCTTAGACTGAGGTCTACGTCTAGGATGACAACGCATTTGCATTTTGATTCCTAATTGAGGATATATAAAGATGTCTATGGGCCACAGCATCCACTTACCATCAGGTGGACTGTGTGCTTGTTTGTCACTATTATACCATAAAAAAACAACTAGCAACGGCTTGTTACATCGTTCGTCATGTAGCAAGAGAGTGGAACAAGTTGCCAGCATCTGTCTATCCATCAGTTTACAATGTGGGTGTATTCAAGGCAAGAGTGAGTAGGTTAAGTCAGTGCGCTTCACTATCTACAACAAGGACACCTACATCAAACTTCAAAAAAAGAATCAAATATATTGGCAGCTCTGGAGTATAAATGAAATGCCTCACAGCGTCTTTATATGCTAGCTCACGTCCTTCAGACCGGAAGTGAGTGCTTGCACCTACCATCAGGTGGAGTTATTGGAATTGTAGCGCTGGCAAGGAATAGTAAAAAAGCAGTATCTAACCGATGTCGAAATGTAAGCCGAACAGCAAACTATTTCACAGATCCAAACTTTAATAGTTTGGATCTGTGAAATAGTTTGCTTGATGACAGATGACAGATGAATCAATAGAAACACTATTTAAGCGATGCCAACAAATGTGATGCGCAAGAAGTTGTAGTCAGTACCACAGTTTAGAAGCGCGTAAGGAGCAAAGTCAGTTTCTAAGATGATGATATTATATAAGATGACAGAAACAGCATCAAAAAAAGGGAATCCAAGCGTGACCATTAAAAATCCTTCCCAAATTATTATGGAATGGTGCTGATAAAAGAAGAAGAAAATACTTATACATTTATTTACCACATAACATAATCAAATATACAACTAAAATTATAATAAAGTCCCCGCGGTATTGTGCCCAGAACGTTAGATGTGTTTCCTCGCTGAATGGCTATATCTACAAACAGCCCTCTTGTCACCAGCGGCAAAGACAAGCCGCGAATATACAATTATTTTAGAAACTTCACCGCCTTACCTACTCTTTACAATATTTTGTCATCTCTCAGAAACTATTATAATAATAAATAATTATAATTAAATTACATTCACAAAGATTTTTCAAAACCTTTTAAGAATATTTAATAAGATACATAGGCTGTACATTTTTGTTAGAACAAGTTGAAAGAGTCAAATGTGGAATTAAAAAAAATATTCTGTGACTGTTCAAAAATATTGTTTATTGCTGAGTTTGATCAACGTTAGAAATTTTGGTTCCTAACTATACTCGTAGTTACTCAATAAATATAAAGTGATGAAACAAAAATCAATATTTTGAACAATACCATTGCTCTAACTCCACGATGACCAGCTAAGCCAGGGGCAAAATTACGATTTCCTTTCATCTTAATTTACGTGGGGTAGCCACTCAAATATGCCGCCGAAATTAGTATACTTGCCCAAAAAACGCTTAACATTCGAATCTCTTAATCCTCCGGAAGCATTAAGATGCAACCCGGAAATTGTTTTCTCATAATTATGGTACATAGTCCCGTGGCCGTGGATTACGCGGTGCTCCTTTCGCACATAAATCGTACGAAATGGGACGCCCGGCCTTAGCAACCGCCGTAATAATTTCACAGGAGCCGTGGCCCACTATAATCTTGGCATAATCTGCCCGATAACGCGACCGTTTGAGTTGAAATCCGTTTCGAGAATGTCGTCCATGTTGTTACAGTTTTGGCGCCAACTATTATAAAGATGGCGACGCGTGCCCCTGACATATTTGTGGTTTTTAGATTTAATTGCTCTTGTTTGGTGTTTGGATAATCCTTATTCTTCTTTACGATGTATAAAGCAAATGCTCTTTTACTGTCCTCAATGAAAAAAAATCTATTGATCCTGCAGGCCATCCCTGACGCTATGTTCGATATCAAAACGCTCTACAAATAATTTTGTGAACTAATAGTTAAGTCATTACATCTAAAACGATTCGAGCAGAAATTTCGAAGTTATTAAAAAAAACCACTTATCTTGAATTTTTTTGACAACGATAACTTTCGAACGTATCAACCGACTTTGATGAAATTGGTGACAATCGGCGATATATTTTAAGAAAAATAATAAAACCTATTATAATAAAACGATTAAACTATAAATTCAAAAGTAACGTGAGAAAAGCCTTTGAAATTCGTCGCATAAAAAAGAAGACAATAAAAGAGATTATTTGTAATATTCGACGCTCCAAAAGTAAATAATCATTAACGCAATTTAATTATGCGATTAAGTCATGCCAAAATATCTACTTATACATTCTAAAATCTAAAACGATGAATATCTATAGGTTTTCTCATTGATTTAGATATAAAGTTTAAGAGAGCAACAAATTAGTTAAATATCTTCTAGTATGAAATAAGTATAAATATAAGTATAAATGACAATATAAGCCAAAGGGTACCACTTTTAAAAATTACATTAATTAAGGTAATTCAACCACAAAACCGAAAAGAATTTAAAAAGATTATTATGGAGTTTCAATTATATAAAAAATTTGAAATGTAAGAAAATATTTTGTACAAGCCAACTACAGGCGGGTGTTGATGGTGCGATGACGGCATTTTATACAATCGTTTTCTTATTGTATACCTACTTAAGTTTTGAACGAACAAATGAACTATATATTGAATTTGAATTAACTTATTGCTATGTATACTTACATAACTTTGAAATATTTAAGATTTATTATAGTTGAGATATATCCGAAACATTAACTAAAACACATAGATAAATATAGTACTTAGTTTACACGTAGGTAAATCAAACAAGATTATTATTCATAACGTAATATTAGGTACTCTATCATCGTCTCAAGCCCTTCTGTCAGTAATTACTGTTTGAGATAATTCCATATAACGGTTTACAGCACCACATATTGGATGTCATTATATTATCAATAAACTTAGTTCAGGGGGATAAACGTCTATCAAATAGGATCTGCATTGACACTGATTACCTTACGTTAGTTCACAAAGTTGTTATAGAAAATGGAAATTAATAATGTGTATGTGTGTACGTTGTTATGGCGGTGTAAGAATATCCCCTACCCCTTATTATCCCGTGGGTGTCGTAAGAGGCGACAGAGGAAAACTAATCAGGAGATGGGCAGCAGTGTCTTCCTAATAACAATTAAAATTAAAAAACAGCGGTTGCCAAAGCGTTTGCCAAGCGTGGCATTTGTGGCAAGTATCTCTCCCTGAGGCAGTCTATGGGGGAGGCCTATGTTCAGCAGTGGATATAAATCAGCTGTAACCGTAACGGTATATCGAAAACTAGTATCCAATATTTTAAGACGTAAAAAATCTCAATTTTTCAATCGAACAAGCTCGTGAGTCTCTGAGAAGTTACCGTCTGTGCAATTTTTTGTAGAGAATATAATATGTCAGTGGAGTTTAGCGCGATGAAATTTTTCAAGGAACTATATCTCCGCTGGTAACAAAAGAGCTGGTCGCGGCGTGTCAAGCGTTTCGATATGATACGTCGGCTACCATTCGGATTAGGGAGTTTGCTACCATCAAACTATTTTAATAAAAAAATTTATTCCAAGCTTAATTCGAAGTTACCTTTGGACTAGCTAATCTCAGAGTAATACTATTTACTTCGTTATTACAATGTTATTAATAAATATGGAGTAACCTCGGACTAACTATACATTCCTTACTCCGGGATTAACGTTTGTGCTATGGCAACCCACTTATTTTAAAAGTAAAAAGAGTGCGTCAGTGAATGATTGGTGAATGAACTCAATGGGTGCGTTTGGCAGAAAAAAGCGCTAGCAAGCGCTTACAAGCGCTAAAATAGTTTTCGGCCAGGACACGATTGCTACTTCAGTAGCGCTGACACAATCCGCCATTTTGCTTATTTAATTTGTTTGTTTTGAAGTAGAGTTTATAAGTTGTTTTGTGCAATATTAGTTTTAAGTAATATAATGACTGAATAAACATATACATGTTATTAAAAATTCATGATTGGTAAGTTTTTAATATGAATACTTTACAAACATATGTTTAAATTAGGTTAAGTTCCCCGGTTAAAACTAACATCGTGTCCTGGAGGAAAATAGCTGCTTACGATTTGACAGCGCTTACCGCTTACGATCGCCATTTTGCTTACAAGCGCTTGCTAGCGCTTTTTTCTGCCAAACGCACCCAATGCTTGATGATGACATTAATGACAGTGACAGGCAATATTTTGAGTTTGACAAGAGATACGTGTTACGTGTTGTTCTTTGTTGCTCGTGTTGTTTTCGGACTCGGTGGAAAAACTAAGTTCTAAATATAATAATTTTTAATATTTTTTGTTTTGTTTTTTGGGGATAAATAAAATCTTTTGTACATGTGATTATTGTATATTTATTTTAAAAAAATCGTTAATATATGCTGCCCGAACAGAATTTCCTCTAATGGAGTTATTTACTAATTGTGTGGCCGGTACATTTTCATCATCTACTTATACCACATCCTCAAGCAGATCTTGCTTTTGCATTGCAATGTATATAGTTTTGTATGTTCTTATTTAGTATTTAGTCCTCGCAGTAAACACCGAAACCTTTGCTTCCCTCCAAAGCATCGTTCTACAGTGTTACGGGCCCAGATGTGCGACCGGTTGTACATTTCTTTCTTTTGTTTACTAGGACGCAGGATAGGAGTGAATAAATACAAGCATAACTATAATCTCCGAGAAGTATGCCTTTAAATTCTGACTGCTCAAACATTTGTTTTAATGAGACTTTTATTAAATATTTTTGAGTCATTTGTGATGCCTTGCCAATGTGCTATATCCATGA